CAGGGAAGGTGAGGGAAGAACCCAGGATAATTCTAAGATTGTAAACCTGAGTGACTAGAAGAACAATGGTGCCCTCAACAGAAGTAGAGATGTTAGAGAGAGAGGAGGATATGGATGAAAAAACATGTTGTTAAATATAACATGAAGAAAAGATGAAATAGACTTCGAAGGAATCCTAGTAATACTTTTATTAATATTTTTAAAAATCTCAATCTTTAAAAATGCTATCCATTCCCAGAGAAAGAACTGATGGAGTCTGAATACAGATAGAAACATACTTTTTTTTACTTTCTTTTTTTGTGGGGGGGGGGGTTGGTCTATGTTTTCTTTTATAACATGACTAATATGGAAATATGTTTTGCATGACTACACATCTATTACCTATATCAAAAAGAATTTTAAAGAGAATTTGGAACTCAACATTTTTAAAAGGAATGTTAAAAATTGTTTTTACATGTAATTGGAAAAAAAATACTAAATAAACAATTTTTAAAAATAAAAAAAGAATGTTAAAAATAAATAAATAATTTTTAAAAAGATAAATAAAATCTTGATCCTTACCAAAGAAAATAGCATACTGGAGATTAAAATAAGCAATATAGAGAATAGAATGAAAGGAAACTGACCCAAAAGTGAAGAAGGCCTTTCAGAAATAAATCAACCAGTTAGATTAGTTCTGTTCTAGAGGTCATGGGCTACCATGTTAGTATAATGGAGCTATAGCAATTCCAAACTGAACTTGGAGTCAGAAGACCTGAGTGTGAGAATAGGCTGTTGTGACCTTGGGCAATAATAACAATAATAATAACAATAACGTATGCATATTGATGTTTTAGGTTCGAAGCCTCTGCCACTTACTAGCTGTAAGCAAGTCACTTCCCCTCATCCTATGATTCTCTTGAATTGCAACCAGGGTTACTAACTATAATTTTAGAGAATTTATAAAGTATAGAAAACAGGGTTAAAGCAATCAGAGACTAATATATGTGGTGTAGAGGATAAAGAACTGAGCTTAGAATTAAGAGTTCTGTTTGTAGTCACAATTCTGTCCCTCACAAGCTTCAGAGAAATTATTTCACTTAACTGGATCTCAGTTTCTCATGTGTAAAAAAAAATTTTTTAAAGGGGGGGGCAGCACTCAACTACTAGTTAATCTCTAAGTCGTGGTGGTCAGCAGAGGCTAGTCATTTCCAGCTCTAAACGCTATGATTCTATAAGATAATATTGGTTAATTACCCACAGAGCTGTCAGTGAATTTTATCTTCTATGACAGAGTGATGGACAAGAGCAGATTAGGAGAATAATAATAGTTTACATTTGTGTAGCATTACAAAGTGCTTAACTCAAATCACCTCTTTAAGGCAGGTAGGCAGTTATCATTATTTCCATTTTACAAATCAGGAAAATGAGGCTCAGAGAATTGATGTGACTTGCCTAGGATCACACAGGAATAAGTGCTAAAGCAAAAAGGGCTTCTGATTCCAAGTCTAGAGCTCTTGCCACTTTTAGATGGGGCTTCACTAAAGCATTCAATTCAATTCAATTCAGCCAACAAGTATTAAGTGTCTACTGTGTTCCAGGCACTGAGGGAGATTAGCTAGAATACTAGTTCTTCTGAGATGCTCAGTGAGTGGTAAAACACTGTGTATGAACTTTAGTGAGGTTTTCATTGTTATTTTAAATAACATTTTTTTTAAAGAAAAGGGAAAATTTGCAGAAGACAATAAGACTCTTAATGAAGTGCAAACTAGCAGAAGGGTTATACTTAAAAGCTTTGCTTCAATATCAACCCAAGAGAATATTATGTTTTTTGGCAGATACTGGGCTTTATCCCAGTATTACTTTGTATTTTTTTAGGACCCTCAGTGATGGAATAAAAACCCAATCCCTAAGTTTTAAGATACTTTCCACATCAAAACATAAGAAATTAAATTAGGAAAAAAAGGTGGATGCCCTGGAGAAAGAAAGGCAAACATCAGAGCTTTAAAGTAGGAGAACATAGGAGAAAAATCTCCAGGGGGCAAGAGTGAAACGTCATGGAGATGAATCAGCAATGCTGGGTTGCTTACAAAATGAAAAATCTACCGGGAATATAGAAAATCAGAACTACAATGTAATACTCTTGTCATAGTCAGCATCATTTAGCCATTTCAGAAAATGGTAGTGTTCTGGTCCTCATAGCTCAAGAGGTATATTTAAATTTGGAAAGGGTTCAGGAGAAAACAGTAATAAAAAAGGTAAAAACCAAAACCTGTTTCTATGCCTTTCATAATTCATTTTACCCAAAGATGAGAATGCTAAATGGAGCTGAATAATTATTTTCAAATTTACAAAGAATTATTATATAGAGGAGAATGACCAGCTGTTCTTCATCTCTGCGACCAGAATCAGAAGAAGTGAATTGGAATGACAGTCAGATTTTGGATAGAGAGAATTTCCAGACAGCCAGAGTTATTAAACATTGATGACCAAGAGAACAGATGACCCAAGAAGCTGTGTGATTTCCTTCTCTGTAGTCTTGAGGGCAATAGAAAATAGATTTTCATCTGCTTAAAATGGCTTAGGTATGTTCTTGTCACGAGGCAGAGAGATGAATTAGATGTGATGTCCTCTCAAGGTCTTTTCTAGGATTCTGTTTAACCTAGATTTGGAGTCAGAAGATCTGAGTTCAAAACTTGCCTCTGATATTTACTTCTTGTGTGACCTTGGGTCAGTTAAGCTGCCTAGACCTCAATTTCCTCATCTGTAAAATAATGGGGATGGACTAGTTGGCCTCTGAGGTCCCCATACTAGGATCAGTTTCCCCAGAAATTCAAAATATTCTGAGAAATGGGGGGGGGGGGAAACAACCTAATGAAGGAGTGGCAAATAATGGCAAGTGCCCTGAAGTGCCTAATAAGTATACAGTGTCATTCACTCACTGTCTTCATAATGTAGTTTCAAATGGAGAGATCTGGGGTTTTGTTTTTGTTTCTCCCCTCTTAACTGAGCTAATGAAAGCAGAACCAGGTCTGCAACAAAACGGAGGACAAACTCCTCTCCCTAGACTAAGAAAGACTCCCCTCCCACCCTTTTCTACTAGAGTATAAAGCCTTGGAGGGTCAAGGACTACTTTTTTTTCATCTTTTTTTGATCCACTTCCTTTCTCTACTCCCAGTCTACTGCCCTGCACATAGTAGGTGCTCAATGAATTTGTTGAACTGAATTGAATTGATTCACACAGGGTCACCCAGAGACAAGCCACTGCAATGAAAAAATCTTTCCAACCAAAGCTAGCAGAGAACAGAAGATACATGGGGAAAAATGAGGACAGGCGCAGAGAATGCTGCTGTTGCTGCTACCGCAGGGAGTGTTCCCCCCCCCACCCCCCAGATGTTCTTCGGGAATGGGGCTGTGAAGGAGTCTTTGAAACCACCTCCACTATGGCTCCTCCACAGTCCTCACATCAACTCTGTCACAATCCCTGTTTCCTCCACCTAAGGGAGACTCTTAAGGAGGAGGGACAAGAAAAAGGAGGGGGGGGACAAAGGAGTGAGAAAGAAAGAGAAAAGGAAAGAGAGGTCACTAATTTAGAATATCAATGAGCAGTTAAGGAGTTGGATCCATTAGCAGTGAGGTCCTAAAACAAGGATCTGTTTCCTAGGATGCCCGTTATCTTGGCTGTCAGCTGATTAATGAGTGTATCTTTATAGCTTTAAGTTAATCTAACAGAATCTATTAGTATCATGTATCTCTTAATATATCGATGCTACCTCCCTTCCCTTGCTCATCACTTGTATCAGGGATATTGATCTGTGCATCTGGAATCTGCTTCCTTCTTTTCACTGTGTCTATGCAGATCCATTGGTCTCTCTCCATCTGTATTTGTAGCTTGGACCCCTGCGCCAAGTCTCCGTGGAGCATGGGGCTGAGCAATATTAACCCCGTAAAAAAGAAAATTCGAGGATGCTGCTTGTGCTTCTAGCTACAGGCCAGTGCAGTGGCTGCTCAACCCTCTCCCATCTACCACTCAGCCCCAGGAGCTCCCTCAAGTGGTGCAGGGCAACTCGGAAGGGGGGCGGTAGAAGGGAGGGGATTACTGGTAGATAAGGACACCCCATAAAGAGGACACCTTGTAGTATCAAATCCAAAAAATAAAAAATAAAAAAGGTGGCCCTGTGGGGTTCTGAGGAAAGAAGATGGGCCGCGCCCTGCCCTTCCTTACCGCAAGGGAGGAGGGGGAGTGGAGTACTCGACTAGACACTGCAAATGCGGGGCCGCTCCCCATTCCTATTCTCCCTTGCCGCTTCCTCATCCTCATTTTTAATTTTCTCCTCCTTTCACCTTTCCCCAACCTACTCCGATTTCTCACCCCGCTATTTCAGGGCATTCAGATCCTGAGGTTATGATCAACCTTTCTCCAGACTTTCTACCTCTGAATAATCCGCAGTAAGCAAAGATGCTCTTTTTCCTCCTGACCCCAGGCTGTTCTACTCCTTCTTGCTTCTCTAGTCCCTTTTGCCCCTACCAGGCAAGTCTTCACACTGGCACCTCGGGGGGTTTCTCTGCCTGGTTGACTGGCAGCGGATCCTGACTCTCGATTAGGGAGGGGGAAGCAACTGAGAATGGAAAACACAAAAATAGCATCTATTTCTATACAGCTTTATGGTTTACAAAGTGGTTTCCATAAAACATTCCTGTTAGGTAGATAATACAAGGGTAATTATCCCATTTTACAGATGACGAAACTAAGGTACCGAGGAGTTAAGTATTTTGCGCAAGGTCACACAATAAGTATCGGATCCAGAATTGAAATTCTCTTCTAATCTGGTTCCAAGACCAGCATTCTTTCTAGTATAAAAAACAAAATCCGAAAACATCCAGCCTGGATGAAGACAATAGAAGCTACGGTTTCCTCTCTCCCCACCCACCCAACCCCGCCCAGCCGCCCCTTGAAAGCCTATGGCTCCCTCTGCAAAGACTAGAAGCCGCCGAATTCTGAGGGATGTACACAAGCCTACCAGATACGGTGCTAGCCATGGTGCTGGGCGTTCAGGCTCTGCGAGGTTTGGGGCTTGAAGGAAAAGCTGCCGAGGCCCAAGACGCAGGTGGCCGCAGAGATGGGAAGCTGCTTGCTGTAGGCTCGACTGCTGCAATGCTGTGGAAAAGAGCAAAGAGAGCCAGCGACTCAGCTCTAGGGGGCTGCAGCCATCCAGAGGGAGGAGAGAGGGAAGGGAGGGGAGGAGGAGGGGGGAGGGAGGAGGAAGGGAGGAAGAAAGGAGGGGCCGAGAAGTGGAAAAGGAAGAGTTGAAGGAAAAGAGGGGTCATCTATTCAGAACATCAATGGGCAGATCAAAGCAAGTTGCTTTGAGGTTCGAATCATTCCTTCTAAAAACTGCCTTCCTTTGCTCTTGATGCCATGGAAGCTGCCTGTAGTAGGAAGGAAAGAAGGACTGTCATAGACAGTCAGAGTGGACAGCTTTCCTTCTTGGAAAACGCCCTTATTTCTATCCTCCCTCCTTTATTGTAGATGGACCAGCCTGAAAAGTTCAGCCCCTCTGCCTCCTCCATTGATGAGGGGAAAAAATAGGTGAGACTGGTGTTGTGGGTTGTTTGTTTGTTTTAAATTCGGCTGTTTGGGGGAAATTCAGGGTCTTTTAAAAATAATCATCTACTTACTGCTTTGCAGATTCTCTGAAAATGTAATATAATCATTAGTCAAAGATTTAGAGTTGGGTGGGATCTAAGAGGCCATTTAGTTCAACCCTCTCATTTTGCAGATGAGGAAATTGAAACCCAAATTGATTAAATGACTTACACAGAACTGTGATTTGAACCCATGTCCACAGACTCCAAATCCTATACTTTTTCTACTGCACCAAAAAGAAGAGCAAGATTAAATACTGAGGGGCTGGAGCTGGTGCTCAGCTATAACTACAGCAGGAGGAGATAGGAATATATGAGGTGGGAAATGGGGTCAAAGGGGTTTGTTAGTTTCTCTTGAACTTTTCCCCAGAGCAAAATAACTCAAAATTCTGTAGTTATTTGAAGCTGCTTAAAATATCAAGAAATTGTAAATCTATTATTCTCTATCCCTTATCCCACATCTGGAATAGGACACTACTCAGTCAGTTAATAAGAATTTAGTCAGTGCCTACTGTGTGCCAGGCACTGTGCTAAATGCTGGGTATACAAAGAAAGATAAAAGACAGTCTCTTCCCTCAAAGGGCTCACAGTGTAATAGTGGAGACAACATGCAAATAACTATGTACAAATAAGCTATATACAGGATAAACTGGAAATAATTAATTGAGGGAAGGAGCTAGAATGAAGAGAGTTGGGGAAAGGCTTCCTGTAGAAGATGGGGTTTAAGCTGGGACTCCATGAAAGGCAAGGAAGTCACAAGATAGGATGAAAAGGGAGAGCATTCCAAGCATGGGGGATAGCCAATGAAAATACTTGGAGGTGGGATATTGAGTGTCTTGTTGAGGAACAGCAAGAAGACCAGATTGCAGAATTCAGAGTTTGTGGAGGAGGAGAGGTGGTATAAGGAGTAAAAAGATTGGAAAGGTCTGGGGGGAGGCAGGTTATGAAAGACTTTGAATGTCAAACAGAGGATTTTGTATTTGGTCTTTGAGGTGATAGGGAGCCACTAGAGTTTATTGAATGGGTATGGGGGTGGGGGAGTATGTGAAGTGACATGGTCAGACTTGCACTTTAGGAAGATCACTTGAAAAACTTAGTGGAGGATGGAGTGGAGTGGGGAGAGACTTGTAGTAGGCAGACATTTGTGATGGCCATGAGGGCCTGTACCAGGGTAGTACCATTGTCAGAGGAGAGAAGGCAGCATATATGAGAGATGTTACTAAGGTAAAATTGGCAGGCCTTGGCAACAGATTGGATATGAGGAAGTGATCCCCCATATTCACAGGACACAGTACTGCATGTACTGTGTGTCTCATAGTCTATTAGACATACCTCACAGGTGGAGCCTTGAGTCACAGCTAGACAGTCTTATTCCCAAATTCTTAGTACAATCTCAGCAGGAGCTCACTGCCTATAGCAGAAGGAAATAAAGGCAGCCAATTCTGGACAGAGATCTTGTCCCTTCTATTTTTATATAGCTCATTGTGAGAACATGTTCCTAGAGCTTCCTGATGAAAGGAAATGATCTCTTATCATCCTGGGTCCTAAGGTAAATAATAATTTGAAAGAAATAAGGGGGGATAGACTGGGTCCAAGACACACACGCACCACACATACACACACACACACACGGAGAGACAGAGAGAGAGAAGGAGAAAGAGAGAAGGAGAGAGAGAGAGAGAGAGAGAGAGAGAGAGAGAGAGAGAGAGAGAGAGAGAGAGAGAGAGAGAGAGAGAGAGTTAGTTCCTTGAGGCAGGAATGGTTTTCATTATTGTCTATATCCCCAACATCTAGCACAGTGCCTGGCACATAGAAGGTGCTTTATAAATGTTTGTTCATTTTAATTGAATTCACTTTACTGTCCCCTAACAATCTGGCCTGCCAACCCATTAACCTCCTCAACTCCCTTGACCTTCATATCTACTCTCATCTCATCTACCCATAAAGATGGTCATACTTGATACCTCACCATTATCCAAAACTGTTCTACCTCTATGACCTTAAACTCTAGAACTCTCCATTTCTGATCAAAATCTTCTGTCCTCCCACCTCTCCCACTACCACATTCCTTCTAAGCCTGCTCTCTGTTTTCAAAGCCTCCAGTCTCTTGGTCATTTCCTGTCTTCCTTGTCTATCAGCCCTTTCCCCATATGGTCTCATGTTCATACCTTCACAGTCTTGACCCTATAGTTAACAAGTTCAACTATGCACTGCCCTTCATCTTTGAATCCTTGCCCACTTATCCTTTTACCATTTACCTTCTGCCAACCCTTGATTATGGATCACATTGCCACCATCTACCTTCTCCACTCCTACTTATGATGTCATTTTGGTCCTCTTCAAGAACAACAGACAACTATTCCTACCCCCAGGCTGTTGAATAAGAAGTCATAAAAACTAGAGACTTGGGACTACAAATTCATGAGAGATAGAATTCAATTGGGCCTTCACTGATACATACTAATATTTTTTAGTCAATTCCTTTTCACTATGCCACTCCCTAATCTGGCTATTTGAAAATTTCTTCTTCTTCAGGCTCCTAAAGACCCTTCCATACCCCCTTTTTCTCATCATATGATCTTGGCTCCATTATTGAGAAAACAATGCTGCCTGGCATGAACTATCTCAACTCCCCTACTGCACCCATCAAAACCCCTCTTTCCTCTTTACACATCCTCTCTTTGCTTCAATCTCTGAGGAAGAGGTAATCTTCCTCTTTGCCAAGGCCAGCTCCTCCATTTGTACCTTGGATCCCATCCCTTTATACCCCCACCCCAAAAGAGTCACCTCATTGCCCATCAATCAATCATCAAGCATTTATTCAGCACTTACTATATGCCAGGCATTGTGCTAGGTACTGGGGATACCAAAACAAAAATGAAAGGAGTTTCTGTTTGAGGGAAACAAAATATTTGTATACACACACATACACACATACATATACATATATAAACATATATATAATGTATATAATATATATATATACACACACATACGTAAGTGCAAAATACATACCCAGTAAATATAAAGTAATTAGGAGAGCACAATAAGAATAGGTCATGGAAGGCTTTCTGGAGGCAGTAGCATTTGAGCTGAGTTTTGAAGGAAGCTAGGAATTCTATGACGTGGAGATGAGGAATGAATACATTCTGGAAATGGAGGACAGATGGCAATGCTTGGGGGTCTGGAGGGCATAGTGGAAGGACAGATGGTAAGGCCCAGTGGGTGGGAGGGTGTAGTTGCAGGGCAGATGGTATGGCCTGGTGATTCTCCACTTACAGGAAGAATTGTAGTTAGTGATTCTCTGTTCCTATAAGTAGCACAGTCATCTTTCTTTGCCTGGCAAAAGGATGGAGAGGAGTTAAAGGGACACAGCTCACCATATTGAAGGATTGTAGTGAGTTGGGATCCTGAGTTCCAGGGGTGTGTTGGTAAGTGTTTAACAATCTACTCTCCAAAAAAAGGTATCCATGACAAATTTTTAAGTTTAATCTGCATTATTAACTTTTCCCCCATCACTTTCCTAAATGTAAGCAATCAAAAAAAATAATAAATTAAGCCCTGATTTTTTCTTTGCTGATTTCCAAGGTATAAAATGCTCACATTGAAAATTTAACAATCACTTCTCAAGACTCAGTTTGAACTGACTCCAGCACACCCCTATAGCGTGTTCCCCCATAAGGGTGGAGATGGGGTCAGCAGCCAAGCAAAAGAGGGAAAGGGAATTGGAACATTCATAAGAAGACTGGGGGAGAAGGGCTTTCTAGGTGCCTGCTCCTGCTGGCAGGGCAAATAGGCAAGCTAGCAGAAGCTGGAAGTGGGAGAGAAAAAAATTAGTTCTATTTGTTAAGATTGTTATGATTGTTAATGTTATATTAAGTTAATATTATGTTATGTTGAGATTGAGGCGGGAGAAAAGAAAACAAAACAAATTGAGATACCTTCTCTCTTTTCTCTCATCAATCTCTCTCTCTCTGACTACTATCTCCTTTCCTAGTTCCTGTAAATATCCTCATGTCTACCCTATCATAAAAAAAAAAATCACTTTGCCCTGCTGTTCCCTCAAGCTATTTTCCTATATCTCCCCTCTTTCACTGCTACACTGAGTCATCTATAATCACTGCTTCCACTTCCTAATCACCTTCTTACTCTCTAACCCCTTGCAATCTGTCTATTCTACTGAAATTGCTTTCTTAAAGATTACAAATTATCCCTTAAATGATAAATCCATTAGCCCAGGGGTGGGGAACCTGTGACCTCAAGACCACATGTGGCCTTTTAGATCCTTGGGTGCTGCCTTTTGACTGAGTCCAAGTTTTACAGAACAGATCCTTTTGTTAAGGGGATTTGTTCTGTGAAGTTTGGATTCAGTCAAAGGGCCACACTAATGATTAGCCTTTTCTCCATCCTCACCATCACTGACATCACTAGGATTTGACACTGTCACCTGACTCCTCCGACTGGATATTATCTCTTTCCTTACTTTCTTCTCTTTCCTGTTTGGCTGTGTCTCAGTTTGCTTTGCCAGGCCATCCATCTCCCACTCCAAAGCATATGTGATCCTTAGGGCTCTGTCCTGGGTTTTCTTCTATTTTCTCTC